CTCCATGAGCTGACCTAAAAATTCCTGGTCGAGCTCTTCCCCTTTGTTGGGAGGTCTGTAATAGACCCCCACTGTTAAGTCTCTTTCCCCTCCACTCAACATATTAGGACGCACAGGGAAACTTCTATAACCATGATCTTTTAATAACAGCAGGGTACATCTCTTAAAGTAGTGGGGGCCAACAGTTTTGGCAGGTGTGCCACAAGTTAGACCCACACCAAGTGCCAATCCAGTTTCTTTTCCCCACCCAACCCCCTCCTCTGATTCCTGCTCTGCCTGCCATTGTGCTGCAGTATCTACCGTGTTGCACACAGAGGTAACTGGTGCCACTTGCAGCACTCAGGCTGCAGGTTGCCTACCTGTGTGTTAAGCATCCTAAAAAATACATGAGGTAGGAATGGAAAAAACATCACTTACTTATCATCAAAATGCAACCCACCAGCTCTCTGAATCTGAAAGCAAACTAATGTCACATAACAGGTTAGGTTATGAAATAAAACACAAAAATAAACCAAGAAAAATCTTACAGCTGGTTTAAATTTCATGGGGAATACTTAACTTTTTTACTATAATTCCCAAAACTGGAATCTGACCAACAGTTGTGACCCTCTAAAAGTGGTCAAGATCTGGATTTCTGATTCTAAGGAAGCCTCTTTCAGCAGCCCAATATCTTCAACATCACAATGCAGCGATGCTAGTGCTGCATTTATTACATTTTTCCTTTGGCTCCTGTCTGCCAAGTTAAGCCTACACTGCAGTACAAAAAAAGTGCATGGGATTTAATGTTCTTGTCTACAGCTTGTTTAGCTACAGCTGTCCTTCGACAAGTTGTATTTAAAATAACATTGCTAGTTTAGCTAATCTTCTAAAGCCAAGTCATTCAGTAATAGATCATATTTCTCATAGGTAATAGTCTTCTATCATCTTCCTACCATTACTAACCTATTTCTTTCTCCCTCATTCTCTGCCTCCCATCATTTTTAAAAATTCTCCCCCCACACACTTCCTCCTTTTGTTGTCAATCAGCCTACAACATTGCCACAATATAGTTTGAAGATAGTAGGAGTCCACAAACAGCCTCCTGTCCTTATTAGATATTTTTGATACAGGACTATGTATTATTGTACTCTTTTATTAATTTTTAATATAAAATTAAATCTAAGTGAAACTATCCTAATGTAGCAGAAGCACCCTGTAAACAGCAGTTTAGCAAGAAGCATGTTACAAGGCCTCTACCAAATCCTCATCCTCAAACTCCAGTATACATTTGCCTGTTCCTACAGCTGGAAACAGCACCCAAAATGTGCTGAAATTTGTTTGATTTAGGAAACAGAGTGAATTAGAAACAACTGTACTCACAGGTCCACTGCAGAAGGGGCAAAACTGAATCCCACTGAACCAAGAATTTTACTTAAGTAGGACTATGGGTTGAAGTGGCAAATTCAGGAGGAAATCTTTCCTTAGAAATGATTAATCACTGCCTGGTGCTTTGTCCTTTATATATTTGTAGGGTGCAAAATGCCACCACTTGTGCAAGCCTGTGACATTTTCATTTTATCCCTCCTGCAATATTGCATATGGCAGTGCAAGTCTGTATAAATTCAGGCCCTGGGATCCCATGCAAAAACAGTGGTATCTTTGCAAGTGAAGAAAACATCTAAATCTATATCATTGTGCACATACTTACTTCATCATGCATCTCTTCTCCTTTCATATGCTTTTACTGACTACCTTAAATTTGGCCCTCCTGGGCATATCCACACATGCAAGCACGTGCGCTTGCAGCAGCTCAAAT